TTTCAAATCCAAAACATTGTTTTTATAATAAGAACAAATTAATAAATCATGACAACAATAGATATGACCAATTGGATTGAGAAATATTTTCATCAAATGCTTGATGAATTTGATGGTTCTTTATTAAAAAATGGTTGTATTTTTCAAATATTATTATATTTTATTATCAAAATAATTATTAATTAATTTCACATAGATGAAGATAATAAATGCATATAGCAGTGTGGTAAAGAGCGAAATAACTGTCCAATCAAATCATTTGAATCATATGAAAACTGCATATGGAGGAATACTCATGACATTAGTCGATATTTGTGGATCTCTCGTAATAGCTTCAAAAGGATTGAATTATTCCTCCGGTGTTAGTACAAATATCAATATTTCATTTACAAATACTACAAAAAAAGGAGATGTTTTATTCATAGAAGCAGAATGTATAAAGTTTGGCAAGGCTATGGGATTTGCTGATATAAAAATATATAACAAAGATACTAGAAAGCTAATAGCTCAAGGTCAACATATTAAATATATTGCGATCACATTAAGACAATCAGAATCAAAACGAGCAAAAATTTAAATTTTAATTCTTTGTTTCTTATAGTTATACAATATCACTTTAATAAAATTCACATGTATTTTATTTATATTATTAATAAAAACAAATAAAAAACATATAAAAAAACAAATAAAACAATAAATAAATAATAAATAAAAAATCAATATAATAAATATTTCTTTGCATACTCCTCAAGATCTAAATAAGTCTAAATATATTTACAAAAAAGTTTTTCGCATAATCTGTTTACCTCTTCCCACCAATATTCAAAATTTTCTTAATAATGTTTTAAATGCCATATGTGTAAATCATATGTGTTGTTTAATATGGTATATTTATATTCTCCATTAAATATATAAAAATACAAACGTACATGCGATTCTAAAAATTTTAATATAGTTATCAATCTTTTATTTTTTGTAGTTTCATTTATATAAAAACTTGCTTCAATAATCTGATTTTTAATCAAATGATCTTTAAATGATTTATATTCAATAAAAAATATCACATTCTCAAACTTGAACTTATCAATCAACGAATGATTCTCTTGGTCAATGTCTTTATATGATAAATCAATATAAAATTTATTTTCATTTAAGAATATTGTCCAAGTGGACCATTCCTCTATTGTTTCATTATAAATTTTATTATTTCATTTTTTTAAAATTTTTTTTACAAGTTTTATCAAAGACATTTTAATTACATAATAAACGTTTATTTTCAAATCTATATAAACATTCTTTTATCTATAATCTTACTAAAAATATCAGAAAAAATACAAAATAATGATGCTTTTCAAACGAAAGCCTCTCTCTAGCCTTTACTCTTAAAATTTCTTAAAATTAAACAATACCATTATCCAAATTTCTGGTTCTCTAGACAATCACAAACCGTAAACTTTAAAAATAAAAAATTATTATCAAAATAACTATCCATAAAACATACACTTCTAGTATTAGAATTTTATTTATCCTTTTCTATCAACTACCAACCCGCCCAACAAATATATCAAACCAAAAAAAAACAACTGAATAATTTTCATTATAGAATTTCCTTATTTTCCAAGTAATTTCTAGTATTTGCCCAAAACATACTTATGATCAACAGTACAGAAAATTACCCCATCATTCCATTATATGAATGTATTCAAAAAACAATTAGTTTTTATTCTAATTGTTTTTAGAATTAAAATTCATTAACTTTTTAAAAGAATCATATATTCGATATTACAAAAAGGTAGAATGAAAACTATCTTCGGTGAGAATATTTTTCAGACACTGGATGCTTTTCCTCCTTCGGATCCACTCGACATATATGAGCATTGATAAAAATAAAAGAACTAAGTAATTTCGATTTTGTGAGAATGTTATATGTTTATTAAAACAATATTCTCTTACTGGAACCACCTCCGATTTGGTAATTGTGGAGTTTTTTTACTAAAAAATAATCACCATTTAACAAGAGCGGTTTATAACTATTAAAACAGATGACCAAAATGTGGACATTTGTTAAAGAAAAGCAAAAAAGCAAAAGAAAATGACGGAATCAATGAATTACAAAGAGCAATTTGCTCAAAAACCTTAAAAATAATCATACGATATCAATTTTTAAATCATATGATATCAATTTTTAAATTAAAATAGTATTTTGTATAACAAAATCAATTCAGATTTGATCCCCATAAAATTTTATTTAAAATAATCAATATACAATAGAAAATTTTATACAGTGTTATTTATATTTATTACAAATCAATTG